AAAAAAAAAAAGCAAAATCTAAAAATCTATAATATTGGTTTAGGTACAAGTTCAACGTTGTTCATTGAATTATTTTTTCCACAAGTGAAATATTCAGTAGAAAATTTGAAAAGAGAAATATATATATATATAATTACATTATTAGGTATGTAGTGTATTTTGTATAATTTTATATATATAAATGAAAAGTAGTTTATTTGCCCATATTAATGGGATTTAATTTAGGCTAAGGAAGTGATAAAGATTTGCTTTTTATTGAATCTTGAGGTTGAAAAGGACATGAAAGTTGATCTAGTTCTAACCATTGAAATTCATGCTTCATTTTTTTTTTGTTTTTGTTTTTGTGAGGAAGCTTAGCCCTGAGCTAATATCTGTTGCCAATCCTCCTCGTTTTGCTGAGGAAGATTGGTGTTGGGCTAACACGCGTGCCCATCTTCCTTTACTTTATATGGGACGCAGCCACAGCATGGCTTGACAAGTGGTGCATTGGTCCGCGCCCGGGATCCGAACCTGTGAACGTCCTGCCACTGAAGCAGAGTGCGCGAACTTAACCACTCACCACTGGGCTGGTCCCCATGCTTCATTTTTTTTCACCTGCCTTCCCTGTACTTTAGCCAAGGCCGAGTGATTTGTTTCATGCTAGAACCATGGAAAAATACTTCCATTTTACCACTCAGACTCCAGGTTCTCCCTGATGGGATTGACTCTCCCCAGATATCACTCTTATTAACTCCAAAGTATCTTATTTATGAAATACAAACACATAAGGATAAATTATATGGAGGGCATATAACTTCATCTTATTGAAGTCTTTAGGAACAAAAAATATGATAAATATATTGTCCTGACTTCTTTTAACACCTAGGACTAGAATAGAATTCATATGCCCTTCAATAAATTATGAATAAAAAGCCGAAGGGAAGAATGGAAAAAATTTAAAACTGAGATATGATATGGTTTTTAAGGGCTTTAGAGTGATTCTTCTTTTTTCATGTTTTGGGAAGAATTCATTGTGGTGAAGTTTTTAATAAATTATTAATTTAAAGACATAAACATGGTTAACATTGCTAAATGCAAATCACAAAAACATATACTCAACTTTAAATAGAAATTCTGATTTTTAAAGTGAACTTTATTTTAATTGACATTTAGGTTATGTTTGCCTTATTTCAAGACACTGGTTTATTGGAGATATTTAAAATTCCCACTCGACAATTCATGAACTATTTTCGTGCATTAGAAAATGGCTATCGAGACATTCCTTGTAAGTATTAATATATCTTATTATTTAAGTTCAAATAATATTGGTTTTGAAACTCTTTATTGTTTTTCCCTTCAGATAGTCTCTTAAACATTTTTTAAATTACATGTTTGGAAAAGTTTTAAGTAGGGATTTAAAAAGAAAATCTGTATCCTACTACCTAGAGTTAACTGACTATTGTTAACATTTTGGTATATATTCTTCAAGACTCTTATATATGTTTATTTTTTATAAAGTAAATCATTATATTGATACCTTTTTATAATCTGCTTTTTTACTTAATTATTATAGTATACATCTTTCTATGTTAATAATTCTTCGTCTGGGTACCTTATCTTTTAAAATGTTTGGTAATATCAAGTAGGTCAAGAGTTTCAGAAAATTCTTGACTTTAAAATATTTAAAATTTACCTATAGAATTTTTGTTTTTAACTGTGTCCTGATTTATGGAGTAATTTTTAATGGTTATTTGATTTTATGGTCAAATATAATTTGAATTTCATATTACAAAAAGATGCAGTTTTATTTATATGTTGATACACTCTATAGTTTCCCTCCATGTGGACACACTTTTGGGAAATCAGTTATATAAATAGAGAGCAAATTATTCCAAAATTGGCATAATTCATAAATAATGATGATGCTTAATAATTTAATGTGTTATATGTACTATAATTACCACTTATAAAGTATGCATTTTAAAATGTGGCTGAATTTTAGACATGGAATTAAGTGATACTTTAAGATGGACTTCAAGGGAAGGGGAATAGAAAGAAATAGGTTGTAAGGAGTCTTCACTGTCAGCTCCAATTAGCATATATTGGTTAAGAAAAGAGTCTCGATCTAACTTTTCTAAACTTTCGTGTATAAATTTGTAAATGGGAATAACAGTAGTACATACCACATAGGTAGTGATAATGTAAGATAATCTATGCAGAGCACATATCAGAATTCATGGCACACAGTAAATGGTCAATAAAAGGTGATGATTATATTAATAAAAATTAAGCTCCTAGTGGATTGACACCATGTCATATCTACAGCCTAAACACTTAGTATTGTATCATCTGCTAGTGCTATGTGGTAGCTACTCATTAAATATTTGTTGAAATGTTCAACTTCTATTGATTTTCAGCTATGACTATAATGATTAGATTCACAAAGGTTATCTCATTTAATCTTTGTTGGAAAGGTTGTATTATCTACCTTTTATAGGTGAGAAGTAAAAACACTCAAGATCATAAAACTAGAAATAGTAAAACTGGGTTTTGCTTTTAGGTCTTGCCTTTTCACATAGTGGTATTTCAATAAACCCGTGTTTTACTGTTCACATTCTATGTGTCAGACACTGTTCTGGATGTTTTCATTTAACATTTAACCCTTATAGCAGGCCTGAGAGATAAGTATTGCTCATCTTTTTTGGGGGGGCAAGGAGGTGGAGTTCAAGTATCCAGAATTTGTAACTGTTCTATGTGCTTGTGTGCAAAACCTGTTTTGTGTGCAAACAGGGGTCTGTCTCCATAGTCCAGACACTATTTACATGTTTTTAAAAGCTACAAAACAGCAACCTTAAGTAAATTTTTCAGTGCCTTTCAATTAGCCCTGGTTACCCTGGTTTTTCGTTGACCCTTTACTAGGTTTTCATCGTATATGTGCAAGTTTTTAAAAGAGAACTCTTTAACCCGTTAAGAGACTTTAAAAAATAAGATGAAACAAAAATATAATTGTAGGAAATTATTCTAAGCTGTACATTTTATTTATGAGGATATAGTATGACTAGAAAATTATTGTACTTTTGTAAATGTCCTATGTAAAAAATAACAGAATGATCATTTTTATAAAACATTTTGGTGACTCTAGATCACAATCGTATACATGCCACAGATGTCTTACATGCAGTTTGGTATCTGACAACACGACCAATTCCTGGCTTACAGCAGACCCACAGTGATCACGGAACAGGAAATGAAACAGGTACTTCCTTCTATAAATCTTTCTTTTTAATTATTTGATTAGGATTAATAAATCAAGCCCTCTCATTTCATTACCTCTGTTCTTTTAAATTTTTCATTAAGTAAACTTTGGTATGTATAAAGGATTATGTAAATTTTGATGCATAATAATGACATACAATTAGGAAACCTACTACCCCGCTTAAGAGCTAGATTAGTATCCAATAGATCCAATTGCTGGATCTGCCAGGTTTCTTTTCTGTGTCCTATTCTGCTGTTTTCCCCACTGAGGCAGCCACTATTCTGAGTATTATGATAATCATTTCTTTGCTTTTAAATATTTATTTATTTATTTATTTATTTTTTCCTCCAAAGCCCCAGCAGATAGTTATATGTCATAGCTGCACATCCTTCTAGTTGCTGCATGTGGGACACGGCCTCAGCATGGCCAGAGAAGCGGTGCGTCGGTGCGCGCCCGGGATCCGAACCCGGGCCGCCAGCAGCGAAGAGCGCGCACTTAACCGCTAAGCCACAGGGCCAGCCCTCATTTCTTTGCTTTTTTCTCTTGCAATTCTTGGTTTTTTGTTTTAGGTGTATCATATAAATTAAAAATATATAATATTTCCAGTGAAACAGGACATATTTAAAAGCCTCACATAAGTATTTAAATGATGATATTAAAAAACTTGTGTTAACATTCAAATTTTGCTTTCAAAAATGTTAATTCTCTCATCATAAGTATAATTATTTACACAAATATGGTGAATTATAATATCCACAGTTCTCTTCTTATAGCTTATAAAAGAAGGGGGAAATACTCTAATAAGATACACACACACACACACACACACACACACACACACACACACATGTCAGGATGGAATTTGCTCAGTTACAAATGCCTGAGAAGTATTACTATACTAATCAGTATAAATGTCATAGACTTAGCCACTGGTTTGCATTCTTTGGTAGTTGAGTCTAAAGTACTGCTATTATTTATTTGATGGATTTGCCTTTTGTCACTGGTTCATTTTTGTCTGCCATCCATATTAACTCTTTCCTAGTGCTCTTGATTCCTTCTGGTAGTTCTTCCATCAGAGATCATTTTCTTCAGCTGTTTTGTTTGTAGATGTATTTATTTTGTCTTAGAAGAATATTTTCATACATTAGCATATTTAAAGATATCATTACAACATCGTCTGACTTCTATAGTTTGTGTTGACACATCAGCCATAAGTCTTATTTCTCCTTAAAAGCAATATGTCCCTTTCCTCTTTGCTTTGTTTTTTAGCATTTTGACTATGATATACTCAGGTGATTTTCTTTGTATTCATCCTGCTTGTGGTTCAGCAAACTTCTTGAATATGTTGATTAAAATCTTTTACTGGTTTCTCTCATGTTCTTCAAAATTCTTCCAGCCTCTGTCCATTGCCCAGTTCCAAAGCTACTTCCACATTTTTAGGTTTTTGTTACAGCAATAACCCACTTCTAGGTACCAAAATCTCTATTAGTTTCCTGTTGCTGCTGTAACAAATTACCACAGACTTAGTGGCTTAAAACAATACAAATTTATTACCTTACAGTTCTGGAGGTCAGAAGTCTAAAATAGGTCCAGCTGGGCTCAAATCAAGGTGTCAGCAGGATTGTTTTCTTCCTGGAGTCTAATGGAGAACCTGTTTTCTTGCATCCTCCACCTTCTAGATGCCACCTGCATTCCATAGTTCATGGCCCCTTCTTCAAGACAGAAACATAGCATCTTCAAGTCTCTTTCTGACCCTGACCTTTTCATCCTTCCAAGAAATTAGCAAAAAGTGATCCAGCTACAACCTTGGCTTTCTGTTCTGAGTATATCTTCCTGACAGTGAATCTCCTACCTTTTGTATCTTTTGCAGTCTGGACAGGTGGTGAATATCCCAAATTATCAAGTCCTTATTCCTTTTTGTTTAATAATTTTCCCTCAGTCTATCACTTTCCTGTCACATTTTACTACAAACAGTAAGAAACCAGGCTATATCTTCAACATTTTGCTTGGAAATCTCCTCAGCCAAATATCTAAGTTCATCACGTACAAGTTTTGTGTTCTACATAACTGCAATACACAATTCAGCTAAGCTTTCTGCTGCTATATAACAGTAATCCCCATTCCTCTCGTTTCTGATAATACGTTGGTCATTTATTTCTGAGCCCTCACTGGCAATGCCCTTAACAGCAGTTTTCTACCACCAGCCATTTCACAATGACTTAAGTATTCCCTAAGGCAATATATGTTTTCTCTCCCATGTTCCTCACTTCCTCCTGAGTTCTTACTAGCAGTGTTATAAATCCTTATATACAGTGTTATGGAATCAAGTATCTGTAGACACAAGGCTTTGGGAGACCAAGTAGCTGTTGAAATGGAAAATTATGGTGGAAACAAAGACTACAAGGACTATGGGATGTGCTGCCTTATTCTGATTGCGTTGGAGAACTAATAGAAAAGAAATGGCTATGACACCAGAAGCACAGGCAACGAAAGCAAAAATAAACAACTGGGACTACATCAAACTAAAAAGCTTCGGCCACAGCAAAGGAAACAGTTAATAAAATGAAAAGACAACCTTCAGAATGAGAGAAAATATTTTCAAAGCATATATCGGATAAGGGGTTAATATCCAAAATATATAAAGGACTCATAGAACTCTATAACAAAAAACAAACAATCTGATAAGAAAATGGGCAGAGGAACTAAATAGACATTTTTCCAAAGAAGACATCCAAATGGCCAACAGGTATGTGAAAAGATTCTCAGTATCACTAATCATCAGGGAAACGTAAATCAAAACCACAATGAGATATCACCTTGCACTGGTTAGAATGGCTGTCATCAAGAGGACAAGATATAAGTGTTGAAGAGGATGTGAAGATAAGGGAACCCTGTGCACTGCTGGTGGGAATGTAAATTAGTCCAGCCACTGTGCAAAACAGTATGGAGATTCCCCAAAAAATTAAAAATAGAACTACCATATGATCCAGCAATTCCACTTCTGAGTATATTTCCAAAGGAAATGAAAACATGAATTCAAAGAGCTATGTGCATTCCCATGTTTATTGCAACATTATTCACAATAGCCAAGACATGGAAATAACCTAAATGTCTGTCAACGGATGAATGGATAAAGAAAATGTGATATATATATATACGTATATATATATATATATATACACACACACACACACAGACATACACACACACACATACACACACACACACATACACAATGGAATATTATTCAGCCACGAGAAAGAAGGAAATGCTGCCATTTACCACAACAGGGGTGAACCTTGAAGGTATTATGCTAAGTGAAATAAGTCAGACAGAGAAAGACAAATACTGTATGATCCCTCTTATATGTGGAATCTAAAAAAGCAGAACTTGTGAAAACAGAGAGTAGAATGGTGGTTACCAGAGGCTGGGTGGTGGGGGAATTGGAGAGACGTTTAAAGGTACAAGCTTGGACTAGTAGGTAAATAAGTCCTGGAGAGCTAATTTACAGCATAGTGATTATAGTCAACAATATTATAACTTCAAAGTTGCTAAGAGATTAGATCTTAATTGTTCCTACCACAAAAAAGAAATGATAATTACGTGATGTGGTAGAGGTGTTAGCTAATGCTATGGTGGTAATCATATTGCAATATATAAATGTATCTCCATGTGTACACTTTAAACTTACCTATTCAATTCTATATAGTAATTATATTTCAATAAAAGAAAGGAAGAAAAGAAATGACAAGTTTAGGGTTTTAAGGAATGTCTCTAACTGACCTAAAAGAATCCCTTATTTATTTTTATTTTTATTTTTTGTGAGGAAGATCAGCCCTGAGATAACATCCATGCCAATCCTCCTCTTTTTGCTGAGGAAGACTGGCCCTGAGCTCACATCTATTGCCAATCCTCCTCCTTTTTTTCCCCATTTTTCTCCCCAAAGCCCCAGTAGATAGTTGTATGTCATAGTTTCACGTCCTTCTAGTTGCTATACGTGGGACGCCGCCTCAGCATGGCTGGCCAAGCGGTGCGTCGGTGCGTGCCCAGGCTCTGAACCTGGGCTGCCAGTAGCAGAGCGTGCACACTCAACCGCTAAGCCACGGGGCCGGCCGCCAAAGAATCCCTTATTTTTTATAGTAGTAGGATTATAATGAAAACAAAACCCAAAGTCTGATCCTGAAGTTACCTAAAATAAAATGCAAGTTGAGTTCCTGGCCTCACTAGGCCTCTTATGTTAGAATTATGGTATCGATTGACAAAGAAAGGACCTTGATTTTGGAAAGGGAATATTTGGGTAGATTTCAACAAATTTTATTATCCTGAACCCCTCAAATCCTTCTGTACCTCTGTGCTGAGAAACAATCATTTCTCCTTGTGTTGATTGCCTGAAGACCCTGTTATGACCTCACCTGAGATTCTTGACATGTAGGGGAATGCTAATTCACCTCTAAATCCAATCCCACCACCTCTCATTTCTTTGAGATCTATAATTGAACTCAAATCCTGGCAGATCTTAGGGGAATAAGTACTAAGTCTGAATACCAGAATAATTTGCTAATTTTTATTGGTAGAAACCTGAGGAATATATGTGGGAATGGATTTAAAGTGTTAGACCAGGGGACAGGAAGGTAATGGTGGATTATTCTGAATTTATTGATATAGATATACCTACTGGAGATTCTGGAGTCAGCGTAGTAGCTTGAGTAATCGGCAGTGGTACTAATAGTTTGCTCCATTAGTTGTCTGAAATGTAGGTATTAAGATGTCACAACTTCCTTATATACTGTAGACGAAGGAATTCAAAGGCTTACAGTGATAGGATGTTGAAATGGTTGATCATGTAGTCTTCTTACCCATCCCTAACTATGTTCCTCAAAAGTGTCCCCCTTCATCAAGGTGTTGAGAAATACCTTGCAACACTAATTCCTGGAGGGTGAAATGCCACACTGGTCCACCAATCAGAGTAGGGATTTATGGAATTTAGGTGATAAAAGGAC